CAGAAAATTCCAAATTTTTATATATCAACTCCTGCACCAGTGCGCCTCTATTTCATTTATATATCAACCTTTAATTGCAGGAAAATGACCAGTTACCTCTGGTTGCAACCAGTAGTATGGATCAGCATAAGTTAATGAAAGTAAAATGTAAAGAGGCCACTACTACTAAAATCCTTAAACACACTCTCTCAAGTGAAGCATAGATGCTAGTCATTCCATGATAGCCAAGAAAATTATTTGGTTTAAATTTTATTACTCCCATGGTAAACACATTGTTTAGCTGCTAATCTATTTTCACGAAGGAAATAAAAACCTCTCCAGATAAGCCTCCCTCTTGCTTCACTGGAAAAGCAAAGAGGAAGAAGGTAGTATATTGATTGATGACGATCAACATTTGCAAATGATGAATCCTCAATCATTTGAGGTGCTTGATGCCATAAATTCTAGGGAGAATTCTCTCCAAGGTAAAATGCAAATGAAAATCAGATTGCAGCTCCAAGGAAAAGAAGTATAATAGAGAAGAATTTGGCAGCTTGATTGGGGTTTGATGAAAACCGGTTTCAGATTTCGTGGCCCATTTCAAGCATGTCTCATCATGCAACTATTGGGTTGCCTAAATTTTTGAGGTCTTATGAGTCTCCTTCCCAGTAATTTAAAAGGCATGCCTAGGCACTCAGGTGAGGTGCATTATAAGGTATACATCTCTCCTATGCCCCAGGTGAAGCACTTTCAAGAGGCTCATGCCTGGTGCACCTAGGCATGCGCCTGGTGTGCCTTGTGCTTCAGAGCAGGCGTCCGCCTTTTTTTATTTTTTTTTGCGCTATTTGTTCTTTTTTGAACCTAGCCGCTGGACTAGGGGCTCTGCCCCTGGATCCCAGCCAAGCCCCTCAAGAGAAGCCCATTTCTAATATTGTTCATTCATTCATCCGAATAAACTATCTTCTTCAAAGGCAATTAAAATCATATATATATATATATATATATATATGTAGGGATTAAGAATTTATGACCCTAATATGGACCTGTTTGGGCTTGCTTTGAGGGGCTTGGTACAAAGGCAGCTTGTAGAATTAAGAATGCAAGATGTTTTATATCACATTAGCTATTTGAAGTAATGAAATTAAGGAAAAAAAGGAGATTGTGGGTTTTACATGCTTGAAAATGTTATATATGTTTGATTTTATTTTTAAATTTCCATTTGAATATGTTCTACATGTTTATGTTTATGTATTTTAATTTTAGATAATAGGTGTTTTTAAAACATTTATTTATTTTTGATCAATAACTGGAATTCATTAGATTAAAAGAATTTAGTTACAGCACTCCAAAGAGAGATAAACAGGCTTAACTCTCTCCGGGAAGATAACAAAAAGGAAAAAATTACAGAACAGCCCAAAACATTTGATCCCTTCCCACCCCCTGCATTGCCAAAGCATAAGCAAATGCATTTGCTGTTCTCTTGACCCACTGAAACTTGATTTCCAGTCCTCTAGTTAGCCACTTAATCTCTCTCCTCTCATTAACTTATTTCTAAAGTCCACTACCTTCTTGTAGCCAACTTAAGACCATCTTTGAGTCACCTTCAACGACTAACTTTTGTATATTCAGTTCCTTAGACTTCCTTATACCCTCTAGTACTGCATAGACCCCAGCTTTGAGAGAGTCTCCAAACCCAATGGAACTTGAATACAAAGCAAGCACCTTCCCACCCTCATCTCTGAAAACCCCCTCCTACACCTGATGGACCTGGATTTCCTTCACTACTTCCTTCGAAGTTTAGCTTTATAAGTCCACTTCCTGGTGGTGACCACACAGGACAAACTAAAGAGCGAGCAGGAGCAGAATTTTCCACCTCCAGATAGATATTCAGCAACATATTTGTAGAAATATCGACAAACAGGTCCAAGGATTTAAACCAATGTACCACCCTCATTGTTACTACTTCAATAAGGCATTCTTTACTTCTTTCAATTTTAGAGAAAATTCTGGTGTTCCTTTCCTCCGAAAGAGTCTAACAAACAACAGCCCTCATACATCTCCACATTATCCTTACCCTTTTGTTTGGCCAACCAAAGAATGAGGGGCTAAACAAACTTTGAATGTTTGGCGGTGGGGTCCATCTGCAACCAAAAGAGGAAAGAAACCATTCCCAAAGATCAGTAGCAAAGGGGCAAGAAACTAATAAGTGGTAGGAGCTTTCACCATTAACCTTGCAAAGAATGCACCAATTCGGAGACAAGCACCTAAAAAGGCCTTTTTTCTTTGGAGTACATCACATGTATTACATCTTTCAAGGAAGGCTTCCCAACAAAAGGCTCCAGTCCTTGGAGGAATTGGCTCACCCCAAACATCCTTAACTGGAAAGTTTTGTGCAAATGGACTGGATGAAGGCAGTAGGGACTTGAAGAAAGAGGCACAAGAGAAGGTTCCAGAGGGAGTTAGGGTCCACAGTCTCTTATCCCTCTCAAAGGGATCCAACACCACTCGGTCTAAGATTTGAACCAAACTAATGGCATTTTCAACCTCTATATCCCTTAAGCCTCTTCTAAGCCCCATATCCCAATCAAACCCAAAATTAGACTGAGAAGGAACTAGAAAACTGGACACAACCCTGCCCTTAAATCGAGAGAGTGGAAACAAGGAAGGGAATTGGTCTTTCAAAGGTATCTCACCCACCCAAATGTGCTCCCAAAATTTTACCTGATTCCCAGAATAGAGGTCATACCTGATGTGCTGCAAAAAGGAAGGAAGAATGGCATGTATAGATTTCCAAGGAGAGGCACCAATAGACCTTGCCAAAGTCCCAATGTCCCAGCCATCATTTGCCCGATCATGAATACTTAAAATTACCCTTGTCCACAGTTTTTCCCTCTCACCTCCCAACCTCCACAACCATTTCCCAAACAAGGCTTCATTTTTCCTCCAAATGTTACCTAAACCTAACCCTTCGTCAGTCTTACTCCTAGAGACTAGTTCCCAATTCACCTTGTGATCCTTCCTCTCCTCCCCAGGTTCCCACAAGAAGTTTCTCATTAACTTCTCCAAACTCCTACTTATCTTCACTGGGATCCTAAAAACCGATAAGTAACACATAGACAAACTAACTAGTGTAGACTTGATCAAAGTAATTCTACCACCCAGAGATAAATAGTTCTTCTTCCAAGAGGTTAGCTTCTTAGCAAATCTATCAATTACGGGGCTCCAAAAGCTTTCTTTCCTCGGGTTATCCCCTAAGGGCATCCCCAAATAGTTTAGTGGCCATTGAGACACCATACAACCCAAAGCTTCAGCCCTCTCCAATATAGCTCTTTCTTCCATATTGATCCTCGCCACATAGCTCTTATCGAAGTTCACCTTCATATTTGACATTTGTTCAAACACTTGAATCACCAACTTCAAGTTTTTGGCCCATCTCACATCCTTCCCCTCACAAAATAGAATTGTATCATCAGCAAACTGTAAGTGGGTGATAGGAATGTTGTCTTTTCCAACTCTCCATCCCCTCACAAGACTTCTTGAATATGCTTTCTCAATTAGCTTCTCCAACACTTCAGCGATCAAGGTGAAAAGAAATGGAGAGAGGGGGTCCGCTTGTTTAATTCCCCTAATAGTCGGGAAGTGATCCACTACCTTTCCATTTACCAGGATGGAGTAATGACAAGTCTCTATACAACCCAGGATCCATTACACCATTTCTCCCCAAAACCAAAGACATCCAACACTTGCATCAAAAAAGACCAATCAACCATATCATAAGCCTTCTCTAAATCCAATTTGCACAGAATCCCTTTCCTCCTTGTTCTCCGCATATCCTCCACACACTCATTGGCAATTAGAATTTGATCCACAATCTGCCTATTTCCAACAAAAGCCCCTTGATTCTGTAGGATTAGCTCTAGAAGCACCTCTCTAATTCTTCTAGACAAGACCTTCGCAATGATTTTATACAAGCTATTAACCAAAAAAAATAAATGTTTTTTTAAACATTTATTTTAAAATATAAGTTTATATTTTTATTAATATTATGCTTAATATTTTTTGAAAATTTTGGCATTTTTTGTATTTTTGTGACTCGCTTCCGGAAAGGTGCGCGCCTCGCCTTGCGCCATGCGCCTCAGGCGCAAATTGCCCATTTCGCTTTTTTTTCGCCTTGCACTTTTAAAACGTTGATCGTACCTGTATAAAATTTTAAAGCAATATGGTGCAATGGTGTCTTGGAAGCACAAAAGCTAGTTTTTGCATATTGGTTATAATGTCCTCTGGTCATGTCAAACTTTGACAATTGACCAGGAGACACACTGATAAACCAGTCAATTTCGTTGAGTGTGTTGATGGTCTTTAATTTAAAGTTAATTTATTTGGGTCAGTATGGTCCAAGAGAATCTCACTTGAAGTTAGAGTGAGTTTAGGAATTTCATAAAATACAAATTTCTAGATTTAGTTTTGGCTGCCATTTGAACCTTGAGATCCACTGGGGACAATACCCCGTTAGAAGTTCTTAATATTCATTTTGGAGTTATGAAGGGTTTTTTAAGGTTTTTATACATGGCTTTATGAAGAGTAACCAGAATAGTTATTTTCAAATAGAATCACATTTCCTTCTCTGAGAAAAACCTTTTTCTTTGCTCTTGAGTGGTTCAGCCCATTAGGCCTATGATCTCTTATTCTAACTCTCATCCTCTTACTTCTTGATTGATTTTCACTACATTTACAACCTTTCTTTTTGTATTTTAGTGGTTTTGCATCAGTTCTCACACTTATCATGATTTGAGTACAAGTGATTGCTTTTCATCAAGGACCTTTCAAATAAAGAAAATTCCTTTATATTCTTCAAGATGTAGAATTTGAAGATGATGCATATATTGACTGATGCCATAGACATTATAGGACTTTCGGATTGTTCTATGGCAGATTTAAATGTTTAAGAAGTTTTCAATACCATACTTTCTATTGTTTTTTTTTTTTTTTGTACTTTTCCCTAACTCTTATTTCCATTGTAGATGTCATCCTTCAAGCGATATGAAATATCTTGGGTTTATAGGAAAGCAATTGGCCACTCAACCCCAAATCGTTACCTTCAGGTGTACTTCTCTTTTTATGTCTTTATTGATGCAATTGTTTTTTTTCTGTGTTCTCCTTTTTCCTAAGGCTCAGTTTGGGAAGAGTGCAAATACAAATATGTACAGTGCAAAACCTTGTACATTGTATTTCTAAACCTTGTATTTGCAATGTACATATTTGTATTTGCACTCTTCACAAATCGAGCCTAGTGATCTATTGTTCTCTTTTTCATTCAATATCAAGTTTCACATATATTGCTATTGGGTAGATAATTTGCATTTACTGGTTATGTTGGGAATTGGAAACAATCTTTGATTTAAGTGTGTAACATCCCTCTAAAGTGCATACTTCCTAAATAGGGAGATTTTGATGTTATTGGAGGTGCATCGATATCAACTGAGGCAGAGGTAATTAAGGTAATGTGCTTAACCTTGTGTTTTCCTTTAGTTTCACTTTCTTTTCTATTTTTTCATTTCTTAGGTTTATTCCTAACGAAAAGGAAAAAGGATAACTCACTATGTGCAAATACTAGTTCAGTTGCCTATATATAATCATTTTTTTAATGATACCTATTGAAAGGACGTGGATTTATTAAAAAAAAAGAGTTTGATCTGTTGGAATCCATGTTATTCCTATCTAAGGGTAATATGATAATTTTAAATTACATTTAAAAAGATAATACATTGCTATTTGGCCTACCAACACAAATGGGTCGAAACTCAATTCTGTCTTCTCATCTTTTTCTTCTCTTTTTATTCTCCAACCAATCCAAGTTAGTATGAGAGTATTCAAGAGGGTCCTAGGAAGCTTCTGTCCTTAGTTGTCTCACAGAATCCTCCTGCCGTCACACGGCATAAGATGACATCAGCAGGTTCTGCAGACAGCAGTTAGCAATAATAACCCTACTAGCCACTTAGCCAGTAAGACTCAATTCTGGGTGATTGTTGGAGTAAAAATTCTTTGGGGAAGGAAAAAAATCAAATGGTATGCTCAGGAGGTCACAAAAATCTTGAAGGACTACACTGCTCAGGAGGAAACTAGTGAAGATAGCAGAGTGGAACTTGTAGAAGAAACACAGGGAGTTACTGGAGACTCTCAAGTGGGAAAGCAGAAGGAAAATCCCCAAAAAGAAAGAGTAATGCAGATCATGGCTAAAGCAGCAAAGGATTGCAGAATGGTCTGCGATATGTTCAAGATTGATTGGGAGGAGAAATTTATTGTCACCTTGACAGTACAACAGAAAGATTGGAAGATCGCTGAAGAGTTGTTGAAAAAGTTGAAGTTAAACTGCACTATAATTTTAACCCCCTTTGAAAAATGTAAAGCCCTTCTAGAGTTAGTAGGAGAGAAATTGGAACTCCATGTGTTATCAGTTGGAGTCGGCCTCTGTGACTGTTTCAAAATGGTCCCCTCACTCTAATTCCAAGGATTTGCGTGAGAAATACAAAGTAATTGTTTGGATCCTGGGATTGCTGTTTCATCTGTGGATTCCAGATCTTTTTGCCTCCATAGCCACTCTTTGTAAAGCAAGGTTGGATGGTATTTTTGTTAAAGACCTCCATTCTGCCGCAGTATGTCTGAGCAATGTGAATTTGGAAGATATCCCCCGCTCAGTGAAGGTGCTGGTAGATGGACTACTGTACTCAGCCTGGTTAGTAGCAACCATTGAAGCTGAGGTATGGAGGGAGGGAAGAAGGAAAGAAGATGAGAAGATAGAAGAAGAGTGGTTACGTGGCAGAGGTCAAATGGCTGAAGAAAAGGAGAAAGGAAGTTGCACTGAAATAGCAAAACAATCTCAGGGGAGAGAAAAAGGTGAAGGAAGGGGGATAGAAATAAACAAGCCAAGGATAGAAAGGGGCGAGACACACGGCTGGTTGTACGCTGAAACAGTGACCAGTGGACTTCGATGTGTGAAGCAACCCCAAGTTCAAATTTCAAAAGCAGGGGTGACTCAGTTGGTTGGGAAATCAGACCTGAACCGGACTCAGTTAGACGGGTCAAAATCTAAAAGCCTATCACGTGGCACTTTAAGTGGCCACGTGAGAGGTAATAAGGAAATTGGGTCTGGGCTTTCATTGCTTGGGCCTAGCCGCAATATGTTGATGATATTCTAATTTTCCTTGATGCATCAGTGGAGCAGTCTTGAATTTAAGAGATATCTTAGCAAATTTTGAACTGTTGACAGGTCTGGAAGTGAATTTTTCGAAGAGTACTTTGATAGGAGTTGGCAAGGTTAGAAGGGAAGTCCTATCTGATTGTGCTGTAGCATTTGAGTGCCAAGTTAGGGAGTTGCCTTTCTCCCATTTGGGTATGCTATTGGGGCTAAATCCTATTCATCTATTATTTGGAAACAATCATTGAAAGAGTTGAGAAGAGGCTGGATGGGTGGAAGTGAAATATCTTTTGTTGGAAGGATTAATCTTAATAGAACTGTGTTGTCTAGCTTGCCAACCTACTACTTGCCCTTATCAAAAGTTCCAGTAGAAGTTGCTAAGAGGGTGGAAAACACTCGGAAGGATTTCCTTTGGAGGAGGGGTGGGAGGAGGGAGGGTTAAAAAGTGTCACTTGGTTAAGTTCCAGAAGAAGTTGCTAAGATGCAGGCCAATTGGGAAGTGACTTTGGAGGTTTGGGCTGGAGAAGGAGAGACATTCACTTTGGAGGAGTGGTGGAGGGAAAGTATGGTGGTGAGGTTTGGGTGGGAATCAAGGGAGGGAGGTTCACCTTATGGGGGTTTTGTTTGGAAGGGAACTATGAGGTTTAATTAGGAATTCAAAAATCTAACAACGTTCTTATGGTGTTAGGATAAGGTTCTGGGAAGATGAATGGTGTGGGGTTGGTAAGTTGAACGAATTGTGTCCAAGGCTGTGTAGATTGTCTGAGCATGATATAGCTATCAGTCAGTGCTATGAGAGGCATGGCAAGCAGCTGGTCTGGTGTCCAAAGTTCAGAAGGCCATTTCTTGATGGCAAGTTTGATGAATGCATTGTTTGCTGGAAAAGTGGAGAAAGTTAAGGTTCCTGCCCCATTCAAGAGATTTGTAGCAGAAAGAATGTTCTAATGGGAAATTTACTGTTAAGTCCTACTTAGCTCTACATCGGAGTCAAATGGAGTCTGATCAGGTTGGAGGTATTTGGGGCAATCCTGCTCCCCCAACAGTGGAGGCTTTGGCTTGGCCTATTGCTATAGACAGTGTGATAACTGTTGTCCATCTTAAGAGCAGAGATTTAAGCATGACTAGTATTTGTTATTTATGCAAAGAACGAGACCCCCCCCCCCCTTTCAACTAGTGCTATGCATCTTCATTCTTCTTAATATAAAAGATTTTTATTAAAAATAAAGAAAAATGAGACCCCCCTTCCTCTTCTTCCTTCTGTTCAAGAGGCTTATGCCTCATACATTCTGAACTATTTCTCACGCCCTCTAGGTAGTGGAATGCCTTGCATCATGCCTCCGCATTTTAAAACATTATTCTCAATTTTACTTGTTTTAGATGTGGCATGTTTTAGGAGGGCCTGAGGGATAATGAATGTGAATCCCTTGTTCAGTCACTAGAATATGGTCAATCTCTACCAATGGCCTCTTTACTTGTGCCTCATTCTTCAATGCCCTCATACAGTCAAATCCTTTGGGGGAGAATATTCTGCCTAAAGTTGAAGCTTTGTGTTGGGAAGTATTCCTTGGAAAGATAAATACTTGTGACATGCTTCAAAAAAGAAGGCCTAGTAAATGTCTATCTCTTCATATGCGTTTCTTTTGCAAAGCAAGTGGTGAGACCATTCCCCATTTACTAATGTCCTATATTTTGTTCTTTGTGTTTGAGAGTACTTTTATTCTCTCATTGGTTGTAGGTGGTTCCCCTCAAGATGTGGTGAGTCTCTTCAGTCCAAGCTTCTTGAGGCAGCCAAGGAAGAGATGGAGAATTATGTAGGAGACAAGGCAGCAGCGGTGTGAACTATATGTAAGAAATGAAAGGAGAATTTATTTATAAAAAAAAGGAATGGGGAATTTTCAATGAAAAAAGCAGGTCCAAGGAGGAGATAATATACAATATTAAGATCAAAGTTGCACATTGGGTAAAGACAATGGAATTTTTTAAATTTTCTCGGTGAATTATATTAAGAACATTTGCTGAAGTGGCACAATGCTTGAAAGATAAAGAAGGTGATCGTGGTATGGAAATTTCCTTCAAACAATAGAATAAAGCTGATTTTTTATGGGGAGTTCTGTGAGCAATTTGGGACTGAGAAGTATAGGGAGTGTGTTTAGAGATTCCTCAAGTAGGGCTGTGGCTTTATACCTAGGACCTGTTGGAGTGGGAGGAACAAGCAACAGAATGAATTGATCAAAAAAAAAAAAGCAACGGAATGAGTGCTGACGTGCTCAAGCCATTTCGCTAACAGCATTATTCAAAACTAATTCACAACAAGCAACAGATTGAGTGCTAGCACAGTGCTAATGCGCAGCCAGTGCAATGGCAGTGTGCTAGCGCATGCATCTATTTTGAATCTTGCTGCAATGGCAAAGCACATTGCGGTGCCCCTAGCAGGTGCCCGAGCTTGTTGGATCCACGTGCTAGCATGCAATGTAGTTTTGGAAGTAAAGGGGGCTCAAAATTGATCATTTCTTGGACAAGCCACAACTGCCAAGTCCCATAGATTCACAGGCACACCTTTAGGGAGATAAAATGCCTATCAAGGGAGTTAAATATCACCTTTAATTGGGTTAGGAGAACTGCGAATGGCATGGCGAATTCACTAGCAAAACAGGTGGTTAATAGGTGGCAAATGTTTTGTACATTTGTATGAACCATTTTGTACTTTTGGGTTCTAGGAATTTTTCAATGTATTGTATTATATTTCAATCACATATTTAATACTGCTGATCAAAAAGCAAAAAAAAAAAAGGGAAAGAATGAATGATTCACTAAGTTATATATTGATCAGATGTAAATCAGTCCTCAAATATTAGGTGTAAATTTGAAGATTAGAAGAAAAAAAAAAGGAAGAAGAGAAGTAAGAGCAGCAGCACAAGAGAAGAAGATGGCGAAAAGAGAAGGAAGAAGAAGAAGATTCGAATTATCTTCCCTTTCTCCTCTAATCCTTTTTCTATTAAGAATTAATGTTAGAGTAATGACAAGTATGCCCTTAAATGGGCGGCCAGCTAGGCAGTAACATAAAGAGATTAAACAAAAAGAAATAGCAGGCCCATTAGCCAACAAGAAAAGAAAAGATATTACAAGAGAAGATACTAGGACCCATTCGGCCCAGTCTCTTTACACTCCCCCTCAAGCTGAGCATAGATGTCAATCATGCCCAACTTGCTTATATAGTGTCATCTTCCCTCTTGGAACTCCCTTGGTCAAAATATCAGCCAATTGCTCGTCTGATGTGATGAATGGAAAACAAGCTTTTCCTGAGGAAACTCTTTCCTACCTGACTGCCCTTCTTAGAGTTGTTGTTATTCTTAAACCTATCAGGAAGAAGCTCAGGATGAAGCTTCCAACAAGTGTCCTTTGTATGCCTCGGTTTCTTGCAATATTCACATATCTGCTCCTTTTTCTCAGTAGGACCCTTTGGCTTTATTCCAGCATGTGCAAAGTCTTCTGTAGGTGGACCCTGCAACTGAACCTACCACCTACTCTCCTCACTGCTTATCATAGCATATGCCTGGGAAAGAGTAACCTCATCTCTGACCAGGATATTTTGCCTAATGATGTCAAACTCAGGGTTGAGTCCAGTGAGAAATTCAAACACCCTATTTCTCTCCACCGACTTCCTATACATTTCAGCATCATTCTTACTCTCCCATACAACTGTCTCCA